GGAGTGGCCAGTCAGCTACAATATATACTCTCACTAGGAGAGACCAGTCAGCAACCATATATACTCTCACTGGGAGAGGCCAGTCTGTTGCCCCATAATACCTCAATGTGAGTAGCCAATCAGCTAGCACATGCACAATAACCCCCACATATATTTTACCTGTTTTGTTTTATGTACACCTGCCTACTAAGATGTACACGCATGCACTTCTTACATCCGTATAGTATGACTTACACTTGATTGTATCAAAGTAGCAATGCTGTATAGCAAGGTTTTAGCAAGTTTTTCAGGCAATTTGGTTTAATATATGAGAATGTTTAGTATCCAAATTAAATCAAGAGATGTACTACAGTGTAACAGTGGGGAGTCAGGTGCTGTAGGCATGATATTACCTGTCTTATCTCCAGGTGAGGGCACATGACCTTCACAGTAACACATACCTATCTCACACATACCATGACACAAGTGGCTTGTCTATACACATACTCTCAAGACACAGGAGCAATTTTGACCAAGCTGTAAATCTGGAGTACATAATGGTCCTGTGGACAACCTGCTAAACTGAATGTCAGCATGTCTAGGACAGTGTTTGTTCTAAGTAGTCAGATATCTAACAATGTCACATTGTGCACTGGGTGTCTGTGGACAACAACGAAGGGTTTAGTATACGCCTGATAAACAGTTTGCAAAACTAATCTATCTCATTTCTTGGTTATTTCTTTGATTATATTTCTTTCTTATCCTTTCATTTCATGTTACTTTTATCACGTTGGGTGATCTCAATCCAACATAGCATAGGCCCTGTAGCATTGGGTGATCTCAGTCCTACATAGCATAGGCCCTGTAGCATTGGGTGATCTCAGTCCTACATAGCATAGGCCCTGTAGCATTGGGTGATCTCAGTCCTACATAGCATAGGCCATGTAGCATTGGGTGATCTCAGTCCTACATAGGATAGGCCATGTAGCATTGGGTGATCTCAGTCCTACATAGCATAGGCCCTGTAGCATTGAGTGATCTCAGTCCTACATAGCATAGGCCATGTAGCATTGGGTGATCTCAGTCCTACATAGGATAGGCCCTGTAGCATTGGGTGATCTCAGTCCTACATAGCATAGGCCATGTAGCATTGGGTGATCTCAGTCCTACATAGGATAGGCCCTGTAGCATTGGGTGATCTCAGTCCTACATAGCATAGGCCCTGTAGCATTGGGTGATCTCAGTCCTACATAGCATAGGCCATGTAGCATTGGATGGTCTCAGTCCTACATAGCATAGGCCATGTAGCATTGGGTGATAGACGTCCTACATAGTATAGGCCATGTAGCATTGGGTGTATGCTGTGACTGCTATCTCACCCCTGTAACACACGTGTATGTTGTGTCTGCCATCTCTCCCCTGTAACATAGGTGTGTGTTGTGTCTGCCATCTCTGTCTTGTAACACAGGTGTGTGTTGTGACTGCCATCTCTCCCCTGTAACACAGGTGTGTGTTGTGACTGCCATCTCACCCCTGTAACACAGGTGTATGTTGTGACTGCCATCTCTCCCCTGTAACATAGGTGTATGTTGTGACTGCCATCTCTCTCCTGTAACACAGGTGTGTGTTGTGACTGCCATCTCACCCCTGTAACACAGGTGTATGTTGTGACTGCCATCTCTCCCCTGTAACATAGGTGTATGTTGTGACTGCCATCTCTCTCCTGTAACACAGGTGTGTGTTGTGACTGCCATCTCTCTCCTGTAACACAGGTGTATGTTGTGACTGCCATCTCTCCTGTAACACAGGTGTGTGTTGTGACTGCCATCTCTCCCCTGTAACACAGGTGTATGTTGTGACTGCCATCTCTCCCCTGTAACATAGGTGTGTGTTGTGACTGCCATCTCTCTCCTGTAACACAGGTGTATGTTGTGACTGCCATCTCTCCCCTGTAACACACGTGTATGTTGTGTCTGCCATCTCTCATCTGTAACACAGGTGTGTGTTGTGTCTGCCATCTCTCATCTGTAACACAGGTGTATGTTGTGACTGCCATCTCTCTCCTGTAACACAGGTGTATGCTGTGACTGCCATCTCTCTCCTGTAACACAGGTGTGTGTTGTGACTGCCATCTCTCCTGTAACACAGGTGTGTGTTGTGACTGCCATCTCTCCCCTGTAACATAGGTGTATGTTGTGTCTGCCATCTCTGTCCTGTAACACAGGTGTGTGTTGTGACTGCCATCTCTCCCCTGTAACATAGGTGTATGTTGTGACTGCCATCTCTCTCCTGTAACACAGGTGTGTATGTTGTGACTGCCATCTCTCCCCTGTAACACACGTGTATGTTGTGTCTGCCATCTCTCATCTGTAACACAGGTGTGTGTTGTGTCTGCCATCTCTCATCTGTAACACAGGTGTATGTTGTGACTGCCATCTCTCTCCTGTAACACAGGTGTATGCTGTGACTGCCATCTCTCTCCTGTAACACAGGTGTGTGTTGTGACTGCCATCTCTCTCCTGTAACACAGGTGTATGTTGTGACTGCCATCTCTCCCCTGTAACATAGGTGTATGTTGTGTCTGCCATCTCTGTCCTGTAACACAGGTGTGTGTTGTGACTGCCATCTCTCCCCTGTAACACAGGTGTATGTTGTGTCTGCCATCTCTCATCTGTAACACAGGTGTATGTTGTGTCTGCCATCTCTCCCCTGTAACACAGGTGTATGCTGTGACTGCCATCTCTCTCCTGTAACACAGGTGTGTGCTGTGACTGCCATCTCTCTCCTGTAACACAGGTGTGTGTTGTGACTGCCATCTCTCTCCTGTAACACAGGTGTATGTTGTGACTGCCATCTCTCCCCTGTAACACAGGTGTGTGTTGTGTCTGCCATCTCTCTCCTGTAACACAGGTGTATGTTGTGACTGTCATCTCTCGTCTGTGACACAGGTGTATGTTGTTACTGCCATCTCTCCCCTGTAACATAGGTGTATGTTGTGACTGCCATCTCTCCCCTGTAACACAGGTGTATGTTGTGTTTGCCATCTCTCCCCTGTAACACAGGTGTGTGTTGTGACTGTCATCTCTCGTCTGTGACACAGGTGACTATTTTGATTACCATTTCTACCTGTGTAACTCGGTAGCAGTAGGTTTTGAATCACTCCATATCTTGATCTCTCACTCTAAACACAACCCTCATGTATTTAGCCTTCTATGGTTACCCCAAGCTTCATTCAACTATATTCAAAAGGCAAAGGTTAGTCATTGAAAAGCCATTACTCTTGTGTGTTTAGGGGTCATGTGTTGAACTCACTGTCTGTTTATTCTCTCTGATATTAGATTTCCATTATGAATGTTAGCCATTTGTATTTTTAGTAGTCGTCTCTCGATGAATGAGAGCGATAAATAGAATCTCAAATATATGTATTGACATAAGTAATCCTATAACCAATATTGAAAGCTGATCTAGGATAACATACATGTGATTTCTACTGAGGTAATCTTTGTCTGCAAATAGGATAATTGAGTGTTTGTGGGGATTGTGATGAATGTGATGTTGCTGTCCATCATCATTGTCACCAGCGAATTACTCTGAGTTTAATATATACTGAAGGTTTTTATGCCACGTCCTTTATACACTTACAATGATGAAAGGAAAATGTCTGCCTAAATTGCCTCTATTTGATATTTTGATGTATGTCACGACAGTCCTTATATGTGGTCTATTTGAAGGTATGTGACTGTCACTGTGTGACATACTTCATCTGTAAAACACATGGTCTATTTACAGTGTTTCTGTCTATACTATTTTGTAAACCTTTGTGTCAAATTCAACACTTCTACACACATAATGAATGGTTCACATTAATCAATGTAATCTGAAACTTTTCACCATTCACATGTCAAGTTCTATTTATTCCAGACCAATTTTATTTCTTGTTTTACAGATCCGCTGGTCATATTTTTTCAAGAATAAGAAAAAAAATAAAAATTAATTTTCCCCGCTCAAAACATACAATCCTAATGTTTTTATTGGCCAAAAATGTAAACTTACCCAAAAAAATGTTAGATTGTTTTTGGCCTCATATACACTTCATATTGCCAAAAGTAAAATAGTTTTAGTATTTAAAAGGAATATTACTTTGACTGGTGATTTTTTTCCCCCTCCTGCCTTCAGGTTTTCTGAGGTTTCCTAAAACAAGGACTTAAGAAATCCATAAAAAAACAAGATATAAGAATATTGGTCTGGCCCTTAAGACAATTCACAATTTGCAAAAATATAATAAAATTCATTACCCTGCTCTGAGTGCGGTCAAAACTCAACTCACTCACTCACTCACTCATTACCCTGCTCTGTGCGAAGAGATTGGAATATGACAGTCATAATGATTTAATCATCATGAAGTCACCACAGCCTAAATACACAACTGTAGAAACAAACTAACAGAAGGACAAAACAAATACTTGCATTTCAGGCTATGTACCCTTGTAATAAATAGGAAGGGAGGGGGAAAATTATTAATATTATTCTGTCATAAAATAATTTCTGAGTTTCAATGCTAATGCATAAAACTTTAGACACCTAAAGAGTGAACATGATAGATCTGTGATTGTTAGCAGAGTTTTTCGGGAAAATAATATTTGAAAAACAACTCATATGTATATTGTTTGCCCTATATTGTTATATGGATTTACAATGGATAACTCCTCAGGTATCAGTTCAAAGTCGACCTGAGGTTATCTATACAATGACACAGACAGATGAACATCTGAGCAGGTATTAAGTAGTTAAACAATCCTTATCCTCCATTCTTGGAGAATTCCGTTTGCACACAATGCTGTTGTAAAATGGGTCATATTCTGTGATGAAGGACACCAGCCTCACCATTTAGTACATATTCTTCCAAGTCAGTAAGTCAGTACAAAGAAAATGTGAGTGTGGCCTGAACACCAATACCAGGAACTATACATTCCTGGCCAAGACTGGTCAGCCAGTTCATCAAGTTGTGTGTCTCCCTTCAGAGTTTTCCTGAGCCACTGTGCTTCAACAAGGACACTGGGGGGTTTGAGGTGGTCAACAATGCCAAGAAAGAACTGGCCCAGCAGATCAAGGCCGCCATCCGGTCACAGCGCCGTACACCACGCATGTACCATGTGGCCAAACTGCACAGCTTCATCGACATCCCTCTCATACCCATTGAGGAACCAATGGGGCCGGAGAAGGTGGAGATCGATACATCATTCACAGTCACAGTGAGTACACAAACTTTTATTACCCTGGTTCCAAAGCAAGTATATTTCAATAAAGGATTTGTCCTGATAGAAAAATAAGCTGAAAATAGTGGATGAAATGGTTTACTTTTAGGTCTGACAAGAGGCAGCAAGTTATGGTTTTCTAAATATCAGTAGTAATTCCTATCATACAAGTAGTGTCCATGTTGATGAAATCAGATTTGTGGTTGGATGCCTGTAACTCTCTGTGTTTGCAGACTCTGAACAAGGAGCAGGGCATCCACTGGGTGAAGGCTGAGCGTCTGCCCTCCTTCCTAGAGAGTGACTGCTACCTGGGAGTACCGCTTGGCAAGCATCATCTCGCAGGCCAGACTCTCCCAGGACGGAAAGGCGTTCGCCATTATGAAGATAGACTACAAACCTCGCATCAAGCGATCCAAGAAGAAAGACGATGATGAGCCCAAGGTGGACCCCAAGGAAGAGCTCATCAAGAACATGTATGTGTGTATGGGCAATGCAAGCACTACTGACACCGATGCCTGGTTCTCCGAGGCTCAGATGGTACAAAATACAGAAACAACATTCTCTACCATGTCTCGGCCACAGAGTGCTGTCCGCCCAAGCAGTGCTCGACCTGTCAGTGTTATGGGTTTGACAGACTTAAGTCGAAGATGTGACAGTGGATTTGGGAGTCCATCAAAGAGTTCTGTATTTGGCAGTGGCTACTTTGGTTCCAGACATGGAATTTACCCTGAGGAGAGTGCTGAAGATGATTTGCCAAGTAATAGGCTGTTCAGCAGCAGCTCACTCAAACCCAACACTCCCCGACCGTCTGAGCCTGTGTGTGTCATGGCGAACATGGATGACCAGAGAGGCTCACGACATGGAGCAATGGTGTACGCTTATCCCAGATCTGAAACCACTGACACTGAGTCCGGCATGGGAGACACAGAGGAAGACAGGGACGAAGAACTGTCCACGGACCAGGAGGCTCAGCAAACGCTTGACACAGAGAACCAGTCAGACCAGGATCTTCAAAAAAAGTTTGAGAGTGTCATAGTGGAAAGTATTGATGACTTAGGAGCAGTGATTGTTGGTGCAGTTCTGAAACGATGCATTGCTACTATTATAGATGAGGATGAAAGGAGTATTGAGAGTGATCCTCAGATCCAGGGAATGTTCCCAAGGAAGAAGTACTCCCACATAACAATGGATATGCTGGACCATTTGTCTATTGGGCCCAATCCAAAGGAGCCGACTCAGCTCCAGGAGGTGGAGCTGGAGGAGCCAGAGAAGGAACTGGACCAGCTGCAGGAGAAGAAGGAGGAGAGTGATGTAGATTCCCTCCTGGACAGCGAGGAGGACTATGAGGAACAGGACACCTTCTTCAGGAAACACAAACACCGGACTTATGATCTCACAAAGCTGAAAGGGGTCCAGCAGTTTAAGGCTTTCCTTGAAGGTACTCTTGGAGAAAAGCACTGGAACTTCTGGGTGGACATTGACAGGAGTCGGATGATCAAGTCAGAGGAGCACACTCTCATGTAAGTGCTGTCCCATGGATCCATATTGTATTCTTTTGATATTCAAACTTGTAAACCATTTCTGAGCAATGTTTTGTTTTCCTCTAGCTACTTGGCAAACATGCGTGAGAAGTACCAGCACCCTGGGTCTCCGTATGAGCTGTCCATGGAGTGGAAGATTCTGCTGGGTTTGGTGGAACCGTCCAGCTGGTCTGTAGAGAGACTGTTGTCAATTCAAAACAAGGTGGCAGAGCCTCTTGTGCTCTACTGGTATGTACTCAACATATTTATCGGCATTCAAATATTTTCTTGTAACTGATGCCATATAGTACATAAAGTTTCCCAATTTTAGGTTGTCTTACAATTTTGATTGTATGTTTCATATTTACATACTTAATATCCAGGGCCCCTCGGTACCTCCTGAAGCAGATGGCTCCCTCAAACCCTGATAGATATTACCTGTATCACCATCAGCAGCTTCTAAAGAGGAAGAAAGAAGTCTACCCCAACCCCCCGACTGCTGTCATTCTGCCGCTCAGGCCACGATCATGTATGCCTCGTACCCAACACACAGCAGTTATCACAGAGGTAAGTCTCACACAAGACTCACATCACACCCACCAACATCAGCCATCCTTCAGAGACCACACTCATGTGTGCCACGTACCCAACACACAGCAGTTATCACAGAGGTAAGTCTAACACAAGACTCACATCACACCCACCAACATCAGCCATCCTTCAGAGACCACACTCATGTATGTCTCATTACCAACACACAGCAGTTATCACAGAGGTAAGTCTCACACAAGACTCACATCACACCCACCAACATCAGCCATCCTTCAGAGACCACACTCATGTATGTCTCATACCCAACACACAGCAGTAATCACAGAGGTAAGTCTCACACAAGACTCACATCACACCCACCAACATCAGCCATCCTTCAGAGACCACACTCATGTATGTCTCATACCCAACACACAGCAGTTATCACAGAGGTAAGTCTAACTTCCACAGACTGTATTTGTTCATTCTATCTATGCCTACATCCTATCTGACAGCCATTGATGCACCTATGTATGACACCATGTGCAGGCCCTGGCTCCAGTACTGCCTGAAGTCCTCAGTGCCCCGACCTCGCCACCAGTAGGGCTGAAGAGAGTGTATGCCCGGCCCAGCACTGTCAGTTCCCACAGGGAAAGTGTCAAGACGCACAACAAGAAGCCCAAGGAGCTCCTGTCTCCCCGAATGAAGGTGGACAGAGTCACCTCAGCCAGGGTCCGGACTGCAACTACTGCAAGGTATCGAACTGAAAACAATATTTACTACTGTAAAACAATTAGAGCATATGCTGCAATTTGATTGGTTGAAATAATTTGTTCAATTGGATATGTAAACTTTGTGAAATGGGATTAGTAGCCTGAACCATTTTTCTTGGTGACATTGATATCAATGCTGTCTTGCTATACATTGCTAGTAGTTAGAACACGTGTGGTCATGGAAGCATGCGACGTCCACCATTGGATTTCCATATGTGTATTTTCATACACATGTACATTGATAAACACAAGTCATCAGATTTGTATGTTTGTGGTCGGAACATTTTATGCACAGAAATTGTACTGTTTGCAGCGTGTGGGTTTATTTGTTCCAATTGTATTTCATCATAAATGTAAAAACACAAGTTTTAGCAACATTACTGCCAACAACCCAAATCCTGGCTTTCAAGTGATATGAAACAGAAAATGTTTAACTACCTGTTGCCTGTGTTTCAGAGCTCAGTCAGCTGTTCCCAGACAGAAATCTGCAAAGGCGACAGCAAGTCGTCCAGTGTCTGCTTTGTCCGATTCTTCTGATTCCTGGGAGTCTGCCTCAGTGATGTCTGACCGTCTGTCCCCGCGACACACATCCCGTCCTGTGTCAGGGCGACCTTCCTCCAGCTTGCTGTCCCCAAGACGGACTTCCCGTCCTGTGTCCCCCTCCAACATGCTGTCCCCCACCACCCCAGCACGGCCATCATCTGCTGCTTCTGTGAAGAGTATGTCCACAGTGTCGGAGTTCACTGGTGGCCGGAGAATGGAGGCACTACTTCAGGCACTGCACCATGAGAGGTCATCAGGTGGCTTCTTCAGAAAATTTATTGAGAGAGGTAAAAATAAGGTAAGAAACGGAATATTGTGACTTGATGAGTCAGTTTAGAAAAGTGAAGGCCAGAATCTAAAGACCAAGAGAACAGTCTTGCATTGCTTACAACAATCATTGGAATCTAACACAAAGTTAACACTGTAAATCCTGAATTTTGTGGTGACAGAGAGTTCCAATTATTCTTGCAATATCTATGACAGTATAAAGGAATACATACAGAATACATTAGGACTGAGTATCTAAGTTATTAGCTGGTGTTATTGTTACATTTGTTACAGCTTTGGCTCTCGGCGCTGAACTTCTGGCGGGAAGTGCAGGAATACCACCTTTTGTTCTACACTGATGTCATCGACCACTACATGCTGGAGAAGAAAGCTCATGTAAGTGAAGTGAGAGTGTTGAGGGCACTATGTCAGGAGCTCATGTAAGTGAAGGGAGAGGGTTGAGGGCACTATGTCAGGAGCTCATGTAAGTGAAGTGAGAGGGTTGAGGGCACTATGTCAAGAGCTCATGTAAGTGAAGGGAGAGGGTTGAGGGGCACTATGTCAAGAGCTCATGTAGGTGAAGGGAGAGGGTTGAGGGGCACTATGTCAGGAGCTCATGTAAGTGAAGGGAGAGGGTTGAGGGGCACTATGTCAAGAGCTCATGTAAGTGAAGGGAGAGTGTTGAGGGGCACTATGTCAGGAGCTCATGTAGGTGAAGGGAGAGGGTTGAGGGGCACTATGTCAGGAGCTCATGTAAGTGAAGGGAGAGGGTTGAGGGGCTCATGTCAAGAGAGGCTCATGTAAGTGAAGGAGAGGGCTGAGGGGCACTATGTCAAGAGTCATGTAAGTGAAGGGAGAGGGTTGAGGGGGGGCACCATGTCAAGAGCTCATGTAGGCCTGAGTGAAGGGAGGGAGAAGGGTTGAGGGGAGGGCACTATGTCAGCTCATGTAAGTGTGAAGGAGAGGGTTGAGGGGCACTATGTCAAGAGCTCATGTAGGTGAAGGGAGAGGGTTGAGGGGCACTATGTCAGGAGCTCATGTAAGGTGAAGGAGAGGGCTGAGGGCACCATGTCAGGAGCTCATGTAGGTGAAGGAGAGGGTTGAGGGGCACTATGTCAAGAGCTCATGTAGGTGAAGGGAGAGGGTTGAGGGGCACTATGTCAGGAGCTCATGTAGGTGAAGGGAGAGGGTTGAGGGGCACTATGTCAGGAGCTCATGTAGGTGAAGGGAGAGGGTTGAGGGCACTATGTCAAGAGCTCAGTGAAGGGAGAGGGTGAGGGGCACTATGTGAAGGAGAGGGTTGAGGGGCACTATGTCAAGAGCTCATGTAAGTGAAGGGAGAGGGTTGAGGGCACTATGTCAAGAGCTCATGTAGGTGAAGGAGAGGGTTGAGGGGCACTATGTCAAGAGCTCATGAGGGGTGAAGGGAGAGTCAGGGGCACTCATGTCAAGAGCTCATGAAGGGAAGGGAGAGGGTTGAGGGGGGCAAGAGCTCATGTATGTCAGAGGGGGAGCTCATGTAAGAGTGAGCTCATGGGAAGGGAGAGGGTTGAGGGGCACTATGTCAGGAGCTCATGTAAGTGAAGGGAGAGGGTTGAGGGGCACTATGTCAGGAGCTCATGTAAGTGAAGGGAGAGTGAAGGAGAGGGTTGGGTTGAGGGGCACTATGTCAAGAGCTCATGTAGAGGTGAAGGGGGGAGGGTTGAGGGGCACTATGTCAAGAGCTCATGTAAGTGAAGGGAGAGGGTTGAGGGGCACTATGTCAAGAGCTCATGTAGGTGAAGGGAGAGGTTGAGGGGCACTATGTCAGGAGCTCATGTAAGTGAAGGGAGAGGGTTGAGGGCACTATGTCAAGAGCTCATGTAGGTGAAGGGAGAGGGTTGAGGGGCACTATGTCAGGAGCTCATGTAGGTGAAGGGAGAGGGTTGAGGGGCACTATGTCAAGAGCTCATGTAAGTGAAGGGAGAGGGTTGAGGGGCACTATGTCAAGAGCTCATGTAAGTGAAGGGAGAGGGTTGAGGGGCACTATGTCAAGAGCTCATGTAAGTGAAGGGAGAGGGTTGAGGGGCACTATGTCAAGAGCTCATGTAAGTGAAGGGAGAGGGTTGAGGGGCACTATGTCAAGAGCTCATGTAGGTGAAGGGAGAGGGTTGAGGGGCACTATGTCAAGAGCTCATGTAGGTGAAGGGAGAGGGTTGAGGGGCACTATGTCAGGGGCTCATGTAGTCGGCCCTGTGCAATGAATTGACAGTTGATGGCCAGTTGATGAGTGCTGTGTAGTAGCTGACATGTTCTAATGTGCATGGTTACAGTTAAGGTAAATGCCACTAAATGGCCATGTTCCAGCAGGAGTTGCTTCCCTTTTGCTGCAAGTTTCACCCTTTTATCTTAGTTCTTGGATATGCCAGTGATACAGAATACAGATCACATAGAAATAAACCAGAACATTTTTCAGTTATGATTTGCCTTTGGTGCAATATTTTCATGTTGATAATAAACTGTTGAAGTGTGAGCCGATGAGGTGTTATGGTGTTGTTTCTGTTTATCACCAGGCTGTGTACTCCCAGTATATTGTTCGTGGTGCTATGTATGACATCGGTTGTTCTGGACCAATCAGGGATGAGATATACCGCTGTCTGGACCCTCCATACGAGGAACTATTTGATGCTGCAGAAGAGCACTCCTTGGCGATCCTGTATGACGCCTGGCTATTTAACCTGGATGATGACGTGAAGACATACAGCAAGGTGTGTACACATGCCATACAGACTGTTGTTGAATTCTCTTTGGTCAACAGCCAATGCATACGAAACCATGTAGGCGGATTTGCCAGGGTGTACGAACCGTACACCCTGTCAAATCTGTCACGTGACACTCTACACAGGTTGTGCAAATAACCTTGACCTTATATGGAATGTGTCTGCTAAACGGCTGATCGCTTCAAAATTTTAGAGTATAAACGGAGTAATAAAATTGTTGCCATGATTTCTTATTTGTTTGGGCCAATAGAAATATAAAAAAATTAATTGTTTCTGTATTCCACTTGTCGTTTAAAAAAAAAAATCTGATCATTTTTATGATAAACTGAGCCATCCCAGGTTATCTCCCTTTATGGCTGTTCAGGAAAAATCATGGCGAAATGTTTTGCGTCTCATTCTATCGAAGATTGAATGGTGGTTTTTAAAGATATACTAAATGAAGAGATCTTAAGGGTAATAAATTTGTCACACAGTGTTTTGAAAGGGTGTACGGGACTGTAAGACCCTTGTAAAGTCCGTATTTCCTGAGGTCTGTACACCCTTTCGGTCCGTACACCCTACGTAACTGATAATATGGCTGACAGTGACCTGCTTTACTCACCTGTGTTCTAACCATGAGTAGAAATATTCATTTATCTAAGAGGTTATCAGACAAATTGATGAACACTATTGAATCTATTGAATGCTGAAGGAATGCAGTGAAGGGATGATTCCTCACACTGTTAGAATAGGACTCTCTTGTCCTTTGTATCACTGGAATAAGTTACAAGGTTTCACAACTGCCTACTGGCTCACTCCATGACTAACAGATGAATTCATCTCCATGTTATCTTTGTATTTGTACATCTGGAAACAATCATGTTAGAACAATATCACTAAGATGACAAGATACATCCCGGGGACAATCCAAACACTTGCATATAGTCCAGGAGCATGTACTCGAGGTCGTGACAACCTGATGACTGTCACGGTGGACATAGCAACTGTCTCTCACAGGGACTGCCATAAACACAATTATAATGAGGAGTTTTTAAATTTCATATATTATCTTATGTTTTCTGCCTGTAGGTGGAGCTGATTGATGTGAAGCGCCACCTAGAGACCCGATCTAAGTATGTGCTACACCTACAGAAGCGGGGGCTCATCAAAGAGGTCAGTTGTTGTTTGCTTGGTCCACAGTTTTGGGTTTAAGATCCTCCAGAGCATCATGCATTGAAAGCCATGGTATGTCATCATGTCCTGTCCGTGGAGCATAAAGACTCAAACAACACAAACAATTACCTCTCAAACAACTGATCATTTCCGGACACTGAATTATTTGTTTTCATTCTGATGAATATTTTTCCTCTATTCTCTAAAATGTGAAAGAGTGAAGGTGAAGAACCCCTGAAGATCCGGGTGGTCAGGCTCGCTGACTAGCTTGTAGGCCAATTGTGTAGATGAATGATCATGCTGTAGATCAGTGGATTGTCTGGACCAGACTTGACTATTTATGGACTGCCCCCATGTAGCTGGACTATTGCTGAGTGTGGTGTTAAACAACTAACAAGTTAGGTGAAGAAAAGCCAGTGAGCAAAGGTGTGAAAGTGTATGATGCTAGAGCAGATATTTTATGTGCACTTCTTTTGCTTCATCCCTACCAGGTGAAAAAGGTAGGTGTATTAAAAATATATTATAGATAGGAAATGATAGTGAACAATACCTTATACAAGTGGTGACATCATGCTGATATATTTCAGCGTGTGCTGACCCCTGATGACCCGATGGAAGGCTTCGAGGACCCTGTGTATGATGAAAGTCTGTTAGAGAACATCCCACCAGATTTCCGAGACTACACCCTGGAGAAGCTAATACACAACCGCATTGAGCTGGAACATTTCCGCCAGTTCCTGGCAGACAACTATGCCAGCATGGACCTCATGTGTTGGATGGACATTGAAGCATGGCGGAGAATTACACACTCGGATGAGAAAAAGCGGGATCAGAAAGCCAAGGAGATTAAAACTAAATACCTCAACAAGAAATACTTCTTTGGACCTAACAGTCCTGCAGGGAAGGAGGGTCAAGACAAGGTGAGCTAAGACCTGTTATTATCATTACCATCACCAATATGCAGGTCAAACCATAACTTGATGCAAATATCTATGTTGCTTGGACAAGCCACTGAACCAGTATTTTGGATGTAAGAAATTGAATATTTTATCATCATTCCTGTTTGGAAATCTACATCAAAACAAGAAATTTCAATGGACCAATCAAAATGCTTACAAATGTAGGAGGGTATGGAATCATCCAACTGATGATATTGTTACCTTGACAACATAATGGCACTGTTAACATTTTGGTCATGTGAACAAGGAATCTGATCTCATCAGCAAGCTGTTTAGAAAAGCTTATAAACATTCTAGAAGTTAAACAGTACCTACACACATATTTCTTCTGTTTGTTGATCGTTCATTCATCAAAATATCTCAGCACTATACTTATGATTGTTTGTGAAGAACACATTGATACCTTAACTCTTTCTTCAGTACAATACACAGATGGTTTATCACTCATTTCCAACAAATGCAGTTAAATTGTAATTGATAAGAAGGACAATAAGCAAATGATCCCAACCTCATCCATCATCACCCAGACACACAAAGAAGATCACTGACTATCATGGAGGATAGAACTGTTAACAATAAATGTTCAGGACAAAGATATGATACTTGCTATACGAAGTCCCTTGTTCCCAAAATCCAGTTAATGGACATCTGTGAGGAAAAATGATAATACAGCATGTCCAGTCACCTGTTGACACCTGGTGCCCCAACTGTGTGGCCATGGTACTGCTGGTGTGTATTGTCCAGAACCTACACATGATGTGCTTGCGATAGAATCTGTTTGAGAAACTGATAAACAAAACTGATAAGCTGGACACATAACAGTGGAACAATACTTGTATTAAATACTTAAATTCCTCTCGTTACTGATTCCTGGAATTTGTAAGCATTTTCAACAACACATGCTGGTACAGGCTCAATGCTTATCAATTATTTTCATAGAAGAGGGAGGAAATGGTTTAGATATGTGAAGTTTTCAACAAAGTTTAAGTAAAATTTCTTGTTTGAAGGTTGAAACATGGCAAATAAACAAATAATCACCCACAACAAGGTCATTGCTGGTAATGCACTCTGGGTAAAACATTTCTTGGTAACTGATGTTTTTGGGTGTGGCTAGATGTCTAGCATGTGCTGCAGCTCTATGTTTCCACCATCAGGACCTAGTCTGTCATACAGACCCTCAAACAAATATATCCCATTCAGCCCATGCAAGTCTAGAATGTGTGGCAAGTCTAGATTACCTCAGTTTCTGAAAGTGAAGAAAGTCTCCCAGAGGCGCAGATAAGCTGCATATCCGGGTAAAATACGCATAGCAAATTTCCAATTACGCATTGGAAAATAATTGTTGCGTACCAATTACGCATTTAAAATGTTAGATACGCAAAAAGTTTAAAACAAATGCGTACGGAATATATTTATAAAAATCGCTTGCGTAATGAAAAAGACATCGATTGCTATCAAGTTGTACTGTTAGTATAGGACAAGTGTTGTACTGTCAGTATAGGATGAGTGATCTTTTATGAAAGCATTTCCATTATATTTAAGTTGGTTTTGATTAGGTATGACATAAGGCAGAACATACCTGCTTAGTAAACTTACTCAATGACATAATACTTAGGTGAGTAAAATGACTGAAATACGTGCATATTTGAAAGCAGTAGGTAACGGAAAATGAAATACCCACTCAACATTCGTAATACCCACTCAAAAAAACAAACAGTGGGTACAGTACCCACATGAGCTAAATCTTATCTGGAGCTCTGGTCTCCTGCACTCCTTTTATTATACTTTATGAATACAATTTAGGAACTGGGTTTTATTCCTGTAAAATATGGTCATTTCAAAGACTAGATGTTTGTCTACATAAGAACCCTGTTCAAACAGCCTGCAGTAATGGAGTGTAGGTGAAAACTGATAGAAACTGAAATACATATATGTTTGATTGTTTCAAACAGAAAAACACCAAATTATTGCATTGAGATTTTGATTTAGCTGTTTTATGAAAGATATGGGTAGGATAGAAAACTAAAATATATTTGCTAGTTCAATATTCGGATGTTTTTTTGGGCATAAAGGGGTTATTGGTATAGTAGGACATATTACATGCTGGTTTTACATAAGTGGACGTATGTCAGAAAAATAGCTTTGTACTCTGAACAAGGTGTTTACACAGACTAAACACACAATGCATTCCAGCAGTTCATGTTTTATGGTTACTTCGATTTTATGGAGTTCTTGTTTTCATTTTTTTTTAATCCAACTGGAGCAGTAAGGATAAAACGAACAAGTTTCATTACCTGGCATAACCATTGCTACAGTTCTGCCTTGTGAATATATTTGTTTAAATATTTGCTCCAAAGATTTTGATGTAAATATTTGCAGCAAAGAACAGTTGTACAGGGAAATAGAGTAGCTGTACTTTGTTACAGACAGTACCAGATTGTCATTGTTTATCCTCTACAATCAGCCAAGCATCAATGATATGAGTGCCATGTTAGTGATGGATATCTACAGATGGTGATGAGATAGCAGCCCAATTACATGCATAGTTCTTGTTGATATCATCGCTAGTGACAGATGTCCCTCCCGCCTCTGATGACATGATACGTTGCTATCGCATCTGTCAATGTTAACAACACCATACAGGTGAAGGTATTCACTAACAACATAGCTGTTCTCACCTAAAACCTGCCAGACAGGCACCCTGTCAGTTAAGATGACAGGAGTTACCCCCCTTAGACCATCCCCATGCCTGCCAGTTTTTCTGTTGGTAATTGCCATATCCAGTGTGTGAGGAAATGTGGCCCAGCTGCAGAAACCACCAGTAAGAAAAGGATGTGTTTTCTTTGTAAACATTGGCAACTGGTGTAAATATTTATTCACATAAGAGATTCAAAGTGAAGGAAATAGGTCTTATATACCAGAATGCATGCAATTTTGAACAGTGTTGACAACATGAAATATTTGGCAGTGATATTTCGTTGGGACAAAGTATGTGTGTTCCCCTATATTGTCACCGACTGAGTTGTGGCATTTCCTGAAGCCAGTTACTGACATTTGCTAGAAGAGAAAAACACTTGCTGCTTGATATTTCTGCCAGATCTTTGAGGGATCTTGGAACCAATTTTCGACCCCAAGGAGTCAATGATTACTTGTGTGAATGTTGAGCTTGTTGACATTGGCTTATGTCTCTGTATAAGTTCAGCCAGGCCACTGCAGTTATATTCCATTACCTGACGCTGGTGCCGCAGCCATTCATGTACATTCCTCACTTGGGGAGATGTTGGTGTTTGTTGGAGACAATATATACTCAGGTGTAGGCATGACTATATATGTTCCCAGTCCACGCTTACATTGCGGAGTAAATGTTTTATTGAGACATATGATGATGAAAGTTGTAAATTCTAAATCAGAGACAGTTGTAGGGTTGTTATGATCAATGCAGGTTAACACAGTAAAGGGAGAGCAATCTTTGAAGCTTCCTTCTTGATGAAGTCTTCTCATAAGGATCAGTAGTCTTACAGTGAACACACTCTTGTTCCTTTGTCAGGTAGAGTTGTGGTTAAGTATCATAGATATTTCCCTGTGAGATATGCTATAGATACAAAGCAGTAACTGTACAACAGGTCTGTAAGAGCAGTTGTGGATGGGTCTCCCACCACTTTTTCCACCAATGTTTTGTGATCATCAAATTTTCACAAAGAGAATTTTGCTCAGTCCTCACAGCCACCAGCCATTGTACATTGATACCAAGTATATGCTGTAGAACCAAATTGTCGAGCCATATAAATTATATATTTATATTTAATAAAGTGCTTATTAGTTTTATTCTTGAGCTAAAAAAATCTACATTTGCCACCACACCCTGACAAATATTTACTTATAATTAACAAACAAACTTGCCATGATTATTGCCCATTGTATTCCTACAACATTGTGGTCAGGTCATCATTTTGTAAAAATGGTTCCTACTTGGATAAAAACTAAAAATGAAATGTCAACATCAAGGTTTTAATGTGTTTCTCTTCATCACCTTGACAATATGATATATAAACAATGTTTTCAGTGTTGTTTGGTTTTGTCTGGTAAATAATATTGTTCAGATATTATTTCTTTGAATGTGGGTATTGCCAGGATCTACCTGTAGAGTTCCCCGTCCCTGTTGAACTGATGACACCATGGTGAATATGAGATGTTTTTACATCGCAGCCTACTGAGAAACAAACATGTCAGCCTGGGAACATGGTTGTTGTGAAATGAAGATTCTGTTAGAAACATTTCTCCATAGTCATCACAGTGACGTTTTATATGACTCATGATGATTTGGTCTTTGAGGGATTAATATAACACAATTAAAAAGACATCAAGATCTGCTGGTATCTAGGGACTTCAATACAATATACCAGCAGTTTCCAAACAATTATTAGTAACTAAACTCACCCTGGTACACCATGTACAATATCACAGAAATAATTTAATCGTTCAGTAATTTGATACATCAGCCAACCATTTTGGATTGGCAACAGCTCGCACAAATATTTTAGGAAAGTAAAACTAAAAAAGATGACATCTCACTTTGTGTCACCTGGTAAACAGATGGTAAATAACGTTGTGTTACTAATTGTTGCAGATAAATTGTCCATGAATAGTTTGTTATTTTATTTTTTATACTTTTTGTAAGAGTCAGACACAGAGTGTGTTATATATGTTAATACGCTATGTTAAGAAGAAACACAGCAAAAAGGCCCAGTGGCCATTAATATTAATTCTACACTTATACGAAAGTATATCAGTCACACCAATCGAAACTGCTCTCTGCTGGAGGCCTGTGGCTCTTAGCTGCATTCCATATCTGGGTGATGGTCATGTCTCACATTAAGTTTGAAGACTGATAATAACTAGATCTACCTTGTGCCGATATTTTGTATAGTTTTGGTGTGGTTGCCAGCTGTAGGTCCCCAGATGCCTGTGGTTGCCATGGGACCTAATGGTCAGAGTCTGCAGTGACTTGCTTGTGGGTCACTGTATCCTGCCTGCACGGACAGATGCTCATGCTATCAGTCACTGGGTTTCCTGGTCAGGACTCCATTGTTTGCTCACTGCTGTCATAGAGCCAGAATATTGCGGAGTGTGGAGTTAAACCAACAAACACAGATATAGTCCTGGCTTTATTGGCTCTGTTGGTATTGTGATCTCATGTCATGCCACATTATCCCTCATCAATCCATCGTCCATCATCCTTCCGTTTTCAACATCTCCCCTGAAACGGCAAGGCCAATAATGATTCTTAAATTGTGCATAGGTAATCCTAGCAATGATCTCTTTACCTTTTGCTCACAGATTCTTAGCCAATTTATACAGACATTATAGAAATATTGTTTTGCAGTATATGGTTTTACAAATTTGTATTTTAGACTGTACATAGGCCAGTGATTTCCTGCTTCTGAAGCCACAGGTTATGCTGGTGACATGCACAGACTGTATCATCCAAGTACAAGTGTCTCTACACTTTGCCTGAAGAACATCAATCTGATGTTAAGCATGATGACCATTATTTAAATGCTATTTTGTCTGCCTGCTCAGAGATGTATTCTTGTATCTCGGTGTAAACTGATATAATCAACTACATTACACAGTCAGTGCAGATAATATGTGTGTATTTGAATTTGGTAATTTTTTCCATCTCTTTTTTTTGTTCAAGGTAATAAATACTCAATAATGTTTTAAAGGTGAAAAACACTAGTGAACATGAGTTTCTGAGTCTTGTGATTCTAACTTGTTCATTGTTTAGTTTTCATAGTTTTCATGACTAAGTTGTGTATTTACTTTGAGTTCCCATGTGAAACTAAATGCTCTGTAAGCATTCTGTAAAGTATCTGTTAATCAAAATCGCTTGATTCAACTTGGAAGTTTCCTAAGTATGTTAATTTCATTTTCGTGATGATTTTCAAAATGACTTGAGTGATGCTGAAATTTTTCTGTAAAATTCCCCAAAGTTTGAGAATTCCTGACAGTGATTACCAGCTGTTGACAATAGAGAAAAAAACCTGTTCTGGCTGGAGACCAGCAGCTGTAGAGTTTCTGTCCAAACACAAGATTTCCTGCTGGAAGACGCTTGGTGTTAACATGAGCAACAGTTGTGCATGCACCACACGGCACACTTCCAATACAGGCAGCCCGCTTTTTGGACTTACAATAACAATGAGGATCCCCTTCCATCTCGACACATTGAACAACAGGGTGGAGAGGACTGGCTGCACTATCACGTCATCTCAGTCTTACACAAACACACTTAATAGCATGGGAAAACTTTACTAACATCCACACTGAAAAAATAGAAGATTCTGAAAAAAGGAACGATAATTCAAATGATAGCATTGATTCAACAGATGTAGATTCCAAGATGAAAACCATGATTGTTCCAGTTAGATATAATGTGCTGGAAACAAATACCAATAAGATGTAGGGCCAAAATGGAATGGTGTACATGTCTTCAATGTTCTTGTTTTTATAACTGGAGATGGTGTGTAGTTTTACAACTTCACAAAGAATCCTGAGTTGAATCCTTGGCTATTGTTTGACAGTTATGATTGATTATTCTTCCAATCAGCTGTGCATTCTGAGTGAGAAGGTAAGTATGATGAATGTGTCACTGCATGTAGTTGAAGACACACCATCAGACACTGCTTGTAATGTCTTTGTTCACCCTAGATCCGTTCGGTCCACTCATGATTGTATTAGTACAAACCACTTTTATTTTTAGAAAATAACCAGTTATAACCTCCAAGTTTGAACTGTTATAGAAATATTCCCAATTTGTGAAAGTATAAAACCATTTTAGGTGATTCCAGTATGCGGAATGGTCATTCCAAAGTCATTTAAACATCATTAGCAGAACGTCTTGTGTTCAGTAGAACACCTTGAGGGTCATGATGAACGTGATGAACATTTGTCATCAGCCAGGTCATTAATCCCAGATGAGGAAGCCATTTGAAACATGATATGTAATGACCATAAAATCATCAAAATCATTTGTGAGTAATTATTTGTGAGTAATTATTTGTCAGTAATTATTTGTCAGTAATCATTCCTCCTTCACGACTGTTGGTGAAGTATAAACATACATTTTTGTCCATATGACTGAAACAGTGTGCAGAATTGTGTTGGATGGCTGAGTTAACTGCTGTGTGTTTGTTGCAGGTGATGGCTGCAGGAGGGGGATGGGGCAAGCTGCTGGATGACCGACCCCCCAACTCTGTACTCCTCGAGGCACAGAAGTATGTTAGGGAACGTCTGGAGAGAAAATGGCTGCCTCTGTTCCTGGTGACACCAGAGTTCGAGGACAGACAGCGACCGCGCACTGGCATGGATGATGTAGTTGATGACGTCCTGGTTCAGAAGCGGAGACGCTCTCAGGCCCTGTCGAAGGTAGAGTTCAGGCTAATGTGCTGACCTTTCAATAGGCCATGTACCCCTCACACCCGCCCATGCAGCTCATGCACAATAATGGTAAAGTTGTCTCCCTTGGATTACCAAAACAAACATTGATTGCTAAAAGAATGCTGAGGATAAGAAAAGGATTTTTTTTTAAAAAAGGATTTTGGGAAGGTGGACGTTATTTCTCTCAAATAAATATTTTTCTTGAGGAAAGCCTAGTCCTCATAGCTCATGTACACATCTAAATGGAAACAGATTCCAAACTTATACTTTTGACATTTTACTGGGTGTTTTTTAGAGAAGATTTTGTTTGTTCGCTTTACACTTTGTTGCAAGACCTCACAAATATCTATAATCAACTGTAACTATTCATAAACACCAACCAAGAATTCTTTAAACAGGTGTATTCTTTTAGAACAAACAAGAGAATGCTTTATCATTGCCTTTGGAAAGATAGGTAAGGTGAATGTGTCATTGTCCAGTTGGAACACACAGCTATTGTGTAAGCACAATGGATATGAAACCAAGTCAACAACTATTTGTTCCATGATGCCATATTGCAGGCACCGATTGCCAGTTATCAACCCAGTACTGACTTTCATTTTGAAGGCAAACAAATAATTTTATTGATTTTTCAGGTGAGATTTGATTAATATTTCAAAACAAATACTCGAATATGATGTTTATTTCTTCCTACTGCCAAAGATATCAGGCATTATAATCATTCCTAGAAGAAGTACTACCCTTTAATAGATCCACTGGATTAAAGGTTAAATACGGAATACGTCACTACACATGAAGATGTACATGATCAAGTTAAAGCTCCATGTCATTGTATGGCAACCTCACAATGATCTCATGCATAGAATGTCACTCTGAGGAACCTGTAAAATAACTGCACAACATACTAACAGCATTGTTCACATGCTTAACTTTGGATAGTGGCCACGTTTTGTCATAAACAGTATTGTATATTAAAGACATTTTATGCAACAGACAACAAAACAACATGCCACTGTACCTACAGAACATCCGTGGTCTTATAAGTGGGTGGATGCCCAGTGTAGACCATCTAATCATAGCTGTCTACTAAATTAGGAAACTATCTGCTAGTAATGATGGTAGCATGTGATATTGCCTGTTTATCAAACTTGTTTATGACAATGCTTTGAAGAAGATTCAGTCCAGATTAATCAGGCAGTTCATCATAATGAGGGGAAAGTGGCCTCCTATCTATGTCACTACAGCAGCAGGTGAGGGGATGCTAGCAGAATGTATCATTCAGCATCACATGCATGGAACCGTCATCTTGGCACTAGCGGTTTCTAGCCATCTACATTGTTTACTGAATAAAACACTCTATAATGGACTGATATTGAATGTACCTACATCTTAGAAGGTTTACATAATGTGTATATGTGTATATGTATATCTCTTACAAGGAGTTATGTTATATATTGTTACACAGTATCCTGAAGTGTGATGCAGATATAAACAAATATGGAGTCCTTTGCTTGACAAAACTTTGATATTTGTTAAACATGCTTGACAGATTATTTTCATGCAGTCTTTTCATTATGGTCTCCTAGTGATGACATGCATGCAGAGAGCTGAGCCGAAAGAAGTGGAGAGAAATGTTTGAACACATGTACAAGTTGTTAATGTGTTCGGTATTCATAAGCGCAATGATGGACATGAACACAGCTGACGTAAACGCACTGAGTACGTTCTGTGTTCTCCTCCCTTTAGTCAGCTTTGTTATTGTTTGAGGTGCATATTGCATCCAGCCCTTGAAGATAAACACCCAAACACCTATAAAGATAATCAGAGCAGCATAAAGCTTGCCTAATTGTCTTTTATCTTGAGCTGTTTCTCCATCAGAAGATCCCACGGCACTGCCCCTGGCTCATTAAAATGTTGGTGATTCCCAGCTCTGCAGCAAACGGCGTGCAGCGTCAGTAAGCTGATGGAAACATCACAGTCACACTTTCATACTCCCCGCAACTAAACTGTACACGAACATTATTTGTGAAAGGGTTATCTTTTAAAAATGGACGTGGATATTTATTGTTCTTCTATTTGTATTATATTATGACCATTATGAATAAGCCTTGTGGATCTTTTGCCAGCTCCCAGTTTAACGTTCTTCAGACCATGTGTTTATTTTCATATGTGAATAATTTCCCTGACAAATATTTTCATTTCCTTTTGTCAAAAGATATGTTCGTTGATAAAATGCCTTCTTTTGAAGTTGGAAAAAATATCTGGTAGAACCCTGGATTTCCTTTTGAAAAACAGGAAATATTTAAAGATGGGTGTTACGACTAGTTGTCCTTTATGTTGGAATAAATATTTGTCTTGTTGTCACTACCATCTCATATGCTTATAAACATAGTTTATTGTTTAGAATAGCACAGTCCATTATATACCAATGTAAGATGTACTAATATGCTACTACATAATTTAATTTTTGTTGTTTGGGTATGGCTCCAGTTAGTTCCCATGTACTTTCAAGTCTCTCTATTCCAGCCAAAAACAATTAATATCAAACTTGGTTACTATTGGCAAAGTGTTGACACAGAGTTTAGCAGCCAATTCTTCTAAGGAGTTTTGATGACTTCACTCCAAATACCCCTATTTGACAATATAGCAGAAATAACATACACCTGAAAGTGAAAGAATTTCTTTTTGTCTTATCCAATGTTTCAGTGAATGCTGGTGTGATAGTACCCTTGCTCTAGGCTGTACTGAAGGCTAAGCCCATGGATGTATATAGTATTTCTATACTTTAAAGAGCCAAGTCTAGATAAATGGACATCAGTCTCTTAGAGGCATATTTATATTTTTGTAGAAATTATTTTAAACACTATTACTGATTTCCTTGGAGACTTGTGCAAGTTTAGTGCAATAGTTCCTTGAGGCAATCTGTGGGTATCCATGATGCAGTGTTTTGTATGTTTGGTTGACTGGAACAAGTGTTTCTGTAAGAACATGTATTGGAGAATGAACGGCACTTTGCCGTCATACAACAGACATTTCTTTGTACACATGAGGAGATGCCTTGTGCTGAAGCAGGGATGGGTACCCTGACAACTCTCTGGGGTCCCATCACTAACACCAAGTCAATCTTCGCTTCATGATGCTTCAAACCCCTGACATATCAGACAATCTCAGCACTGTAAACCCCTGACATATCAGACAATCACAGCACTGTAAACCCCTGACATATTAGACAATCACAGCACTGTAAACCCCTGACATATCAGACAATCAAAGCACTGTAAACCCCTGACATATCAGACAATCACAGCACTGTAAACACCTGACATATCAGACAATCTCAGCCATCTAAACCCCTGACATATCAGACAATCACAGTACTGTAAACCCCTGACATATCAGACAACCTCAGCACTGTAAACCCCTGACATATCAGACAATCACAGCACTGTAAACCCCTGACATATCTGACAATCACAGCACTGTAAACCCCTGACGTATCAGACAATCAAAGCACTGTAAACCCCTGACATATCAGACAATCACAGCACTGTAAACCCCTGACATATCAGACAATCTCAGCCATCTAAACCCCTGACATATCAGACAATTGCAGCACTGTAAACCCCTGACATATCAGACAATCACAGCACTATAAACCCCTGACATATCAGACAATCACAGCACTATAAACCCCTGACATATCAGACAATCACAGTACTGTTAACCCTTGACGTATCAGACAATCAAAGCACTGTAAACCCTGACATATCAGACAATCACAGCACTGTAAACCCCTCATATATCAGACAATCACAGCACTGTAAACCCCTGACATATTAGACAATCACAGCACTGTAAACCCCTGACATATTAGACAATCACAGCACTGTTAACCCCTGACATATCAGACAATCACAGCACTGTAAACCCCTGACATATTAGACAATCACAGCACTGTAAACCCCTGACGTATCAGACAATCACAGCACTGTAAACCCCTGACATATCAGACAATCACAGTACTGTAAACCCCTGACATATCAGACAACCTCAGCACTGTAAACCCCTGACATATCAGACAATCTCAGCACTGTAAACCCCTGACATATCAGACAACCTCAGCACTGTAAACCCCTGACATATCAGACAATCGCAGCACTGTAAACACCTGACATATCAGACAACCTCAGCACTGTAAACCCCTGACATATCAGACAATCACAGCACTGTAAACCCCTGACATATCAGACAACCTCAGCACTGTAAACCCCTGACATATCAGACAATTGCAGTACTGTAAACCCCTGACATATCAGACAATCTCAGCACTGTAAACCCCTGACGTATCAGACAATCACAGCACTGTAAACCCCTGACATATCAGACAATCACAGTACTGTAAACCCCTGACATATCAGACAATTGCAGCACTGTAAACCCCTGACATATCAGACAATCTCAGCACTGTAAACCCCTGACATATCAGACAACCTCAGCACTGTAAACCCCTGACATATCAGACAATTGCAGCACTGTAAACCCCTGACATATCAGACAATCTCAACACTGTAAACCTTTGACATATCAGACAATCACAGCACTGTAAACCCCTGACATATCAGACATTCGCAGCCATCTAAACCCTGACATCCACTCAGGCTGGATCTGTGTTTACAGCCATTCAGAAGGGGCTGCTCAAAATGGCAGTGAAAATGGTTGGAATTTTGATCAGACAAGTGTTGGTGTACACATGTGATCCTGGGAATAATGAAGATTGTAACACTTGTGTGGATCTGCGGAGCATTTCCGTTCTGTGCAGTCTGTGGCGCTGCTCCTGGAACAACCTGGTTGTCCTCCTTGGGCCAAACTCTGTGTGTTTAAATACACATGCTGTTCAGTGGAGGGGCAGCGCCAGGAGCTATCACCCACGCCCTTGTAACACTCACACATGTGCGGAGTCATAATGGCCAAAATACAGGCACACCTCT